GTGGGAGGGCCCAAATGTGGGAAACAGGTGGGCTGAAGGGGGAAGGGCAGGATGGTTCGACCCTTATAGCTTCCTTTATGGAGGGACAATTCCTGGGACAGGTTACCTTGGCAACAGGTTGGAGCAAGGGCAGGTTCTTGATAAGGGTGGAGGAATTAACATTTCAGTCCCTCAGGGGACAGTCTCCAACTTGCTGGACTCATTCAAAATTGGTCTGACTGGATCTGACCTGACTCGATTTACCTATACTGATTGCCTGTCTAATTCTGGCTTCAGAGTGAGGACTCAATAAGAATTTTTGAATGAATGAATGAAGATACTCTCTCTGAGGACATGAATACCTAGTTCTGATGGCCGTTGAGAGAATATAGCAAGAGAATACGAAACATGCTTGGTTATGGTGGGGGTTCAGAAAAGCTAGCTCTTTTTTTTTTTTTTTTTGGTACCAGGAATTGAATTCAGGGGCCCTTGACCACTGAGCCACATCCCCAGCCCTATTTTGTATTTTATTTAGAGACAGGGTCACACTGAGTTGCTTAGTGCCTCACCATTTCTGAGGCTGGCTTTGAACCCACGATCCTCCTGCTTCAGCCTCCCGAACTGTTGGGATTACAGGCATGTGTCACCGCGCCCTGTAGAAAAGCAAGCTCTTATAATAATTTTGTCCATAAAAACAAAGACTCTGGGCTGGGGTTGTAGCTCAGTGGCAGAGCGCTTGCCTAGCACATGCGAGGCACTGGATTTGATCCTTAGCACCACATAAAATTAAATAAATAAAATAAAGGTATTGTGTCCAACTATAATTAAAAAATAGATATTTTTAAAAAACACAAATAAAATAAAGGTATTTGTTTTGTCCATCTACAACTTCAATTTTTTTTTTTTTTTTTAAATCCAAACCACACAAAGACTCCACCATGAGGGCTTATCTGATTCAGCTTCCCTCTGACCTCAGACCAGAGTCTTGACCTACCTAGAATGGAGGCAGCTGTGAGTGTGGCCTCCTGCGGTCTTCCCAGAGTACAAGGTCAGCCCTTCCTACCAGAACAGTCAGAGCATATTGGCTTTAAGGAGATCCCTGGTGTCTGAAGATGAACCCCACTCTGACTGGTCCTGTCCTGTGGGTGGTCCCTGATTATGCTATTAACAGTGACTCCTTGTACTTCCAGGATTTTTTTCTCTAGAAATTGTATACTTAAGAAGTTTGTTGAGAAAAACAAATGCATATGATAAATAATAATTGATTTATTTTTGCATTTTGATGAATCAGACATTCAGCTGCCTGAACTTCCAATCATCATGATGTCAAATTATTTCAGCCCAAAGCAAGAAAATGTAACATTTTAATCAGTGGTGCAGTTTTTGCTGGGTGAATACATTAGGGACCCCCTGCATAATTCTCCAGCAAGTGATCCAAGGGTGACCCAAAGGGGGTTCTAAGATGAGGTAACCCAGGGGCAGCCTCATAAACACTATAATCCAAAGAAACTAGTCAGCAGCAGTGGGAGGTAAGAGCAGATCTGACAAGGCTTAGATTGATTAACTGATGGATTGATTGATTTGGTACCAGGGATTGGATCCAGGGGTACTTAAAGACTGAGCCACATCCCCAGTCCTTTTTTGTATTTTATCTAGAGACAGGGCCTCACTGAGTTGGTTAGGGCCTCACTAAGTTGCTGAGGCTGACCTTGAACTAGTGATTCTCCTGCTTCAGACTCCCAAACTGCTGGGATTACAGGCATGCACCACCATGTCCAGCAAGGCTTGGATTTAGATAACCTTGGGAAACAGTATTGAACATATGGTGTGTGTGTGTGTGTGTGAGAGAGAGAGAGAGAGAGAGAGAGAGAAAGTTAACATCTCCTTCGACATGTTGGAAAGAGCCAGTCAATGAGGGACTTAGATCTATAGACCATAATAATAATAACGTAAGAAATGCCTATTGTAGCCGAGCATGGTAGTGCATGCCTGCAATCCTGGTGGCTTGGGAGGCTGAGGCAGGAGGATTGCAAGTTCAAGGTCAGCCGCACCAATTTAGTGAGGCCCTATCTCAAAAAAAAAAAAAAAATTAAAAAAGGAGGGTTGTGGGCTGGGGTTGTGGCTCAGCAGTGGAGCGCTTGCCTAGCACGAGCACGTGCGAGGCCCTGGGTTCGATCCTCAGCACCACATAAAATAAATAAATAAATACGTGTATTGTGTCCAACTACAACTAAAAAATAAATATTAAAAATGGGGGGTTGCTGGGGATATGGTTCAGTGGTTAAGTGCCCCTGGGTTCAATCCCTTGTACTAAAAAAAAAAAAAAAAAAAGGAAATTCCTATTTTATGCAGGAACCCTATTTAACTTAATGCTTTTCTTTAAAACCCAACTGTAAGGTGGATACCATCCCCCACCTTACAAAAGAGGAAACCAATCTGAAGAATCTGGACTCATCCCCGCCTGCAAGTAGCTAGTGGGTCAAGAGCCAACCTCATCTGATTTGCAAGGCTAGCTTCTAGCCACCAAATGATTGCCTCTCCACACATGACACATGAGTTGAGAGCACTGGTTCCCAGTTTTGCTTGCTGGAATCTCCTGGAGAGCTTTTAAAAAATGCAGATGCCTTTGGGTTGTGGTGGCTCAAATCTGTGATCCCAGGAATTTAGAAGCCTGAAGCAAGAGGATCACAAGTTTGAGGCCAGCCTCAGCAATTTAACAAGACTCTCTCTCAATAAATAAATAAATAAAACCTGACGATGTAGCTCAGTGGTAAAGTACCCGGAATTCAATCTCCAGTACCAAAAGTAGGACCAGTAGCAACACATAGTTTTATTCCCAGAGATTTTAATTTTGGGGTATCAGAATCTTTATCATATTTCACCACATAATCATCACAGCTTATGTTTTTCTTCAGATGGTTCACCACTTAAAGGTAAAAGCAGCAACATCTTCCCCAGTGGCATTGGATGCACATTTGTCTTCCCAGGCACCAGAGTCCCAAGCCTAGAATTCTCAGCACTTGCACATGGTCTGTTCTATTTGAAAGCCAACTGGTTTGTTTAGAGTGCCATGGTACTAACAAAAACACATCTTGGGCTGGAGTTGTGGCTCAGCGGTAGAGCGCTCACCTAGCATGTGCGAGGTCCTGGGTTCGATCCTCAGCACCACATAGAAATAAATAAATAAAATAAAGGTATTAATGTGTCCAACTACAATTTAAAACAAAATCTCACCTGAGAGTCTGTGATGGATACCACCACATCAAATAAAAAAACTGATAATAGCAGTGCAGAATCTTGGGGCACAGAAGATTAGATTTTGCAAATCCAAACTTTGCCACACTGTACTGAATTTTCTCAAGTGTAATATTTTGACTAATGCACAATAAATAAATAATAACAATAATAAATAAATCAATAACAACTAGTGTGTTAACTTTTCTTTCAGACCAAAAAATTGTTCACTAAATTTTCATGAAGAGATGATGTGGGTCAAGGTGCACTATTCGATTTTAATGTATTTGTGAGTATTCCATACATCCTAATCTTGCACTGAAGACAGTTTAGAAATAAATAATGTTAAGTAATACTGGAACAATTAAAAAATAAAAAAGAGCTGGGTGTGGTGGCTCAGCTCGGAAACTTGAGGCAGGAAAATCACAGAGTTCAAAGCCAATCTCAGCAAGACCCTCTTAATTAAAAAAAAAGAGGCTGGGGATGTAGCTAAGTGGTTAAGTGCCTCTGTGTTCAATCCCCTGTGCCAAAAAAAAAGAAAGAAAAAAAGACTTCACATAATAATCCTACCTTACCTTTTTGCAAAAAAAAAAAAAAAAAAAGGAATAAAATTTGTGACAATAATGTGGTGAAATATGGTTTAAAAAATCCCCCAAAGATTTTTAACACACAGATAAGGCTGAGTGCCACTGAGCATCACTGACAGTACACAGCCCCAAGCCCACCTAGGTCATTTGCTGTTAATATCACCTGGTCTGTCTGACTATCCCTAGGATTAGGAAAAGGGCCAAAGAAGCCCAGAGGAGTATCCCAAACTCTAAGTCCAAGATCTGTAACTGGGCCTGGCCTCGAGCCAAACTGGGAAATGGGCAATAATTAATGGCAACTTGATGACAGTAATAGTTGGAACAGTAATTTGACAATTTATTTCAATGCGACAGGTCGTCTGCATACTCTGTTTTATTTGTTCTCACAACAACACTCCTAGATACGTGTTGTAACTCTTTCCATTTTACAGATGAGGACACAGGGCACAGAAATATTAAGGGGCCAGTCCAGAGCCACTCAGCTAGGCTGGGTGACAGTGCTCTGGACCACTACCTTTTCTGTGCTGTCTTTCCAATCCCAGATCACTTCCAACTCTGCAGCCCCTGGGCCACCTCAGGACTCCCCTACCACCCACAGTTCTCTGGTGCCTAATTTACTGAGTGCCTGCTCTGCCCTGGGGTGGTGGGTCAGGCAATGCATGTGGGTAACATGGGCATCCTCCCCTGCCCCCACTGAATCTCAAGGTCAGGGAGAGATCAGACCAAAACAGGTGGAAGGATGCATAAGAGGACTGGGGTGGTGGTTCTGGGATCTAGCAGATGGAGCCCCTAGTTGACAGAGGGATCCTAATCCCTAGTCAGCAAGCTCCCAAGGTCACCATAGTCCTCAGGAAGCAAACCTGGGCCTGGATCCTGGAGCCCTGTTTCTGTTCTTGAAGGGAGGACCTTGTTGAGATTGGTTACAACTGAGTTCAAGGCCAGGAGCCTCAACTCTGTGGACCTAATTTTCTCATCCATAGAACCCCCTTCATTGCAGTTTCTCTAAAAAGACTGGGCAAGCCCAGACGCGGCCAGACCTGGCAGGGTGGATGCCCACTCGCCCACTCGCCTGCAGCCGTTCCCTCCCCCGCCTCTGCTCTCATCCCTGGCGCCCAGCCTGGCTGCAAACCACTTTCCAGCAGTGGCTTCCGTGGGGAATGGAAACTCTGAGAGGAACCATTTCTCTTTGTATTTCCCCAGCAACCAGCAGAGGCCTGGCCAGGGCGCCTAGGGAAAGGCCCAGCAGACTGAATTGTCCACAGCTGGCAGTCCCAAGGAATGACTCACACTCCCGGAAAGATGCCTGCCTGTCCCCACCAACCCAGCCACTCACCAGGTCACCGCCTGGTAAGTCAGGGGCTGTCAACCCTGGCTGCAAGGCGGAATCAGCAGGAAGAGAACTAGGGGAGCGGGGAGGCCTTCAAAATTCTGATGCCCAAGACAGTGGAACAGACAACGCAAGGGCCCTGAGGGTGAGGCTGGGCATCACTGTTTCTTACAGTCTTTCTCAGTGTCATCTGAGGGTCTTTTATGGGAAAAGACCAGCATGTTTGCTTAAAATGCAGCCTCCAGGTGGAGGCCCACAGCAAATGGATCAGGCTCTGGGGATGGGTTCTAGAATCCAGACCCTTAACCCCCTTCCCTAAAATTTTTTCTTTCTTTCTTTTTTTCTTTTCACAGCAAGTTTTAGGAATCTCTGCTATTTGGAGGACTCCGCTGTGAGGAACAAACAGGTCCAGCTGCCCACAGACCCATTGTTCACTGGGGGAGATGAGAGGGTTTGCCTGGCCCTGAGGCGGTTGGGGAAGGAAGGGCTGGAGGTGGAAGAGAGACCTCAGCTGAGGGAGGCGCCTTTCTGGAGGGCCAGGAAAGTTGGGCCTGGGAGGCTTCCTGCAGGAGAGAGGGATGCATTCCTCCCATTCCTTAAGGGTGAATTTCTAAGGGTAGGATTTCAAGGGTAGTAAATAAAAAGGGCAGGTGGAATATCTATTTATTTATTCATTTATTTCCCTTAGTCCATTCCACGGTTAATCTGCTTACTCTACATCAGCTGGAGCCTCCAAGGTGGGGGTGCTAGTCTACCCAGACTGCCATTACAAAATACCACAGCCCGGGCCCTGGGGTACTGGGGATTGACCCCAGGAGTGCTCTACTGCTAAGCCACATCCTCAGGCTTTTTTTCCCCATCTTTTATTTTAAGACAGGGTCTCCATAAATTGCCAAGGCTGGCCTCAAACTTGTAATCCTCCTGCCTCAGCCTCTGGAGTCTCTGGGATTATAGGTGTAGTCACCATGCCCAGCCAGGCTGGGTCCTCCTTACACAGCCTAAATTTACATGTCATGGTTTGGGAGGCTGGAAGTCCAAGACAGAGATAACAGCAAGGTAAGTTTCATCCTGAGATCACTCCTCTTGGCTTAGAGGTAGCAGCCATCTTGCCGGTGCCTGCTTGGCCTCTTCTGTGAGGAAGAGAGAAAGGATAAGGCAGTGGGGAGAAGAAGACAGAGTGGGAACACCCACACTGCTCCTTTAGGTGACTCTCACTAATCCCACTGATTCAGGGCCCCCACCCTTAACAGTCTCTTTTAACTACTTACATCCTTAAAAGGTCTATCTCCAAAGACAGTTACATTGAGGATTAGGACATCAACATAGGGAATCTGGGGGAGATGATTCAGTCTATAGCAGTGGGCTTCTCAGCTCAGGCCCAAAGAACCATACAGGGGCTTACAGGGTTATCCAGGGGAACTGGGCCCAAGTGGCAGAAGGTAAAGAACGACCCATCAGTCCCCCTACTGCACCTACATTCCTGCTCATAGTTCAGGGCTTTGACCTGGGGGAGGCAGAGGAAGCCCTGCTTCTTATCTTAGGCCTCTGGAGACCCAGGATTGGGAAAGAAGGAGACTGGGTCCAATTGGCCCATGAGGCTGGCCAAGGGGTTCCCTGGGAATCAGACACAGAGAAGCAGCAATGACTCAGGTGACCATGGACTCGATGCAGCTCCCTCCCCAGAGCATCTTCCAGGGGCACAGGTGGCCTCCTGGGCATCTCCTCTCAGCTGTGTCTGCAGCAACTTCTGTTCACTGTCCTCTGCTCTTCACCGTGTCAGGCACCATGTGGCCTCTGCAGGTTGACTGTGAACAAAGGCAGAGGAGCCCTGCTGTCATGGAGTTCACATCTGAGTGAGTCCGGCAGCAGCCATTAGAACAATAAAGAAGTTGAGAAGTAACAGTCAAGGCTACTGGTTGGTCAGGAGAAAGTATGATGTAAGGCGGGAAAGACAAAGTAGTGGATGTGCAAGGAGGTGAGCTATTTTTGCTCTGGGCTCAGGGAAGTCTTCTAGAGAGAAGACACTGGGCAGAGAGAGACCTAAATGGAGGAAGGAAGTAGGCATGTAGATTTAAGGAGAAGAGCATTTCAAGAAGGAACCGCAAGCATGGTGGTTCCAAGGCCAGAGGAACTAGGCATGTGTGAGCCATAAGAAGAAGGTCAAAGGGCCTGAGGGGGGAGCAAGGAGAGCCCCATGGTGAATGGGGCTGAGGGGGTCTGCAGAGCCAAATTACAGGGGCCTGTGGGGCTCACCTTCTTCTCTGCGTCTGACAGGAGGCCATGAAAGTTTGGGACAGAGGAGTGATGTAACCTGACAGGCTGACAAGGATTGCTCTGCTATGTGGAAACAGAGGACCCGTGGGGAGCAGGGAGAGCCAGGGTCAACTGCAGTAGGTCAGGGGGAAGAGGCAACAGGGGATTTGCTTTGGGGGTGGCTATAAGGGATGGATCAAGAGCCACGTATTGTACTTTGAAAGTTGAGCTGAAGGTAGAGTGGCGGTGTCCTGTGAGGGGCAAGGAGTCAAGTTCAACTCCTAAGTCATTGGTGTGAGCTTCTGAGTGATGGTAGTGGCGAGGGGGAGTTCAAATTCTGTTGGGACCTTTGAAGTTCAAAGAGCCTGTAACCACCCCAGTGGAGGTGCTGAGTCTCCGTGAGTCTGGAGCTGAGGAAGGCGCGGTGGCTGGTCAGGCTGGAGGAACGCATTTCATCTGCTTTTACGTGGGACCTGCTTCAGGGGAGAGAAGGGAATCCCTGGGGAAACACACAGCAGGGTAAGAGGTGGGAGGACCTCCAACATGGGGAGGTCAGAAAGAGGAGGCCCAACCAGCCTAAGATACGGAAGAAGAAGATTCGCTATGGTGGCAAGTGCACACAGAGAGGACAGCTCAAGTGTTGGTGAGTGAGGTGAGAGACGAACAACCTGGCTCATGAAATCTGGAGAATTGACGACTGGGCCCCTCAGAGGGTGGTAGGGACCAAGGCCGGAGAAGAGCCTGGGTGGGGACAGGACAGGAAATGGAGATGCAGAACAGGCAAGTTAATTGGGGGATTTTGCTGTAAAAGACAACAGAGAAAGAAACAATGCCCCAGCTAGAGGAACATGCCAGGACCAGCAGGTTGGTCACCAAGGGCCTCTCTATGAGGTTTCAGAGCTGCAGAGCAGCCTGTGGGATGCTGTCAGTCAGGAGTAGGTGTGTCCTCCCTGAGAGGGGACTTTAAGGCATGAAGGTATCAAGGACTTGGTAGGGGATAGTGGGCCTCTGCCAGAAGTCTTTCTTTCTTTTTTTTTTGGTGGGAGGGGGGTACCAGGGATTGAACTCAGGGGCACTCCACTGAGCCACATCCCCAACCCTATTTTGTATTTTATTTAGAGACAGGGTCTCACTGAGTTGCTTAGCATCTCCCTATTTTCTTGCAATCCTCCTTTCTCAGCCTCCAGGGCTGCTGGGATAATAGGCGTGTGCTACTGTGCCAGCCAGAACTCTTTCTTGCCAGCCTGAAATTCCACCATCACTGTTTTTGCCAGCTGGATTTGTTAGAATCATGGAGACTGGAAATGTAACTCAGGGGTAGAGCATTTGCCTCACATGCACAAGGCCCTGGGTTCAATTCCCAGAGCCATGGGGAAAAAGAAAGAAACAAACAAACAAACAAAAATACAATCATGGAATAGTAACTAAAACAAACAAACAAACAAAAAAAAAAACCAAAAAAACCACCTACCTGTAGTCCTACCCCTGATCACCAGCTAAGTGCAGCTGAAGTGACAGCTGGGATGGCAAGACCCAAAAGTAAGGATGAGCTCTAGGTAGAGCCCCCGTGGCCTGTGGCTGAACCAGCCTGGGTATCAGATCAGAAAGGATATCCTGACTGAGGCAGCAGGTACACGCAGGACACAGGACATTGGAAACAGTTTGAAACCTCATGACCAGGGACTCTACTTTCTGCTAGCTAATGTATTAATTTACAAACCCATTGGCTATCGCTGGGGACTGGTGACTGGTGACACAAAGCAGCTTGTGGACCTTTGGCAGGAAGGAGCCTTCTGGTTGTCTCAGTTGGAAGATGACTCCCCCCAATTCTGTGTGTAAATACGAGGGTGACCTTTGCATTCAGGAAGAGGATATACTAGTTAGGACACCTCTAGCCAGAGTCACAGTGACCCTTGTTAGTCAAAATGTGATCCCTTGATGCCTAGCATGCACTATATTTTTATCAGGGAAAAAAACTTCCAGAGGGTCCCTTGGTTCTCATTGAGCAAAATAGATCACCTTTAGCAGCAAGGAAGTTTGCAAAAATGAACTTTTGTTCTTTTCATTTTCTATGGTAGCTGGGGATATAGCTCAGTTGGTAGAGTGCTTCCTACTTCACATGCACAAGGTCCTGGGTTAAAACCTCACCACCACCAAAAAAAAAATGGCAGATTTACTTTGGGGCTGGGGTTGTGGCTCAGTAGAGCACTTGCCTAGCACATGCAAGGGTCTGGGTTTGATCCTCAGCACCACATAAAATAAATAAACAAAGATTTTGTGTCTAACTACAATTTTAAAAAAAATTTTTAATTAAAAAAAAAAGCAACTCATGGACAAGCAGCCTAGAAAGGGCTATTAAGTAGCCAGTTATCAGTGGGTGCCATAAAATACACACAGGAGATGGAAATGCACATGTGGCAAACTTGACAAATTAAATTATTTATCAGTTAACCGTTTAATAGAGGAAACAGGAAAGATCAGGATCTTCTATTAGTTTTCTGTTGTTAGTTGATTTTGATCTAGTATTTTTCTGGTTAATTGATTTGCTTTTTGTTTCTTCAGATAAAAATATTCAAAAGATTTTCTTTGAAGCCCAGAATTTGCATTTGAATGTAAATTTTGTGTATTGTACCTTGATCAATGTTGCAAAACTCAGTAAAGACATAGGTGAAGAGATTAAAAAGCAAGGTAATAGAACATATTTATAAATGCTTTTCAAATTAATAAATGTGTCTGGATGCCGTGGCACATGCCTGTAATCTCAGCAGCTCAGGAGGCTGAGTCAGGAGGATCTGCAAGTTCAAAGTCAGCCTCAGCAATTTAGCAAGGTCCTAAGCAACTTAGTGAATCTCTGTTTCACAATAAAAATAAAAAAGGGCTAGAGATATGGCTCAATGGTTAATTAAATTCCCCTGGGTTCAATCCTTGGTCTCCAAAAGTAAAATAAAACAAAGCAAAGTAATAAATTGTTATCCAAAGCTGCTATATTATAAAAACCACTTAATACAGAAATTTTTACAATACAATCATGGTTGTATTTCAGAAGCAGTCACCACTTAGCTGCTTAGAAAAGAAATGGAAATAACTTAAGTGAGCAATGACAGGGGATTGGTTGGATGACACAGTCATACAATGAAATGCTATACAACCATAAAAATAGTTGTTTTTGATGGTATTTAGTATCATGAGAAAATGTTAAAAATATATTATTAAGTAAGATAATTACATGCCTGTAATCCCAACAAATTGGGAAGCTAAGGCAAGAGGATCATAAGTTCAAGCCCACCCCTCAGCAACTGAGTGAGACTCCATCTCAAGAAAAAAAAAAGCAACATATAAGGCAGTATATAATGTAGTCATTTTTTATTGTTAAAGGGTTTTTTTTGTTGTTGTTGTTTGTTGTTTGGTAATTCATCAGAAAGACCCACAGAGTGGGCTGGAGATACAGCTCAGTTGGTAGAGTGCTTGCCTTGCATGCACAAGGCCCTGGGTTCAATCCCCAGCAACACAAAAAAAAAAAAAAAAAAAAAAGACCCACAGGGATTGAACTTAGGGGCCCTCTGTTACTGAGCTACGCCCCTAGACTTTTTTTTTTTTTTTTTAGTTGTAGATGGACACATTACTTTTATTTTATTTATTTATCTTTAATCTTTACGTGGTGCTGAGAATAGAACTCAGTGTCTTACATGAGCTAGGCAAGCACTCCACTCAACTATAACCCCAGACCAGACCTTTTTATTTTATTTTGAGACAGATTCTTACTTTCTGAGACTGGTCTTGAACTTGGAATCTTTCTGCTTCATCCTCCCCAGTTACTTGGATTGCTGGTGTGTGCCACCACGCCCAGTTCTTTTTCTTTTTTTTAAAGAGAGAGAGAGAGAGAGAGAGAGAGAGAGAGAGAGAATTTTTTAATATTTATTTTTTTTTGTTTGTATGTGGTGCTGAGGATCGAACCCGAGCCGCACGCATGCTAGGCAAGCACGCTACCGCTTGAGCCACATCCCCAGCCCCAACGCCCAGTTCTTTAAAGTATATATGTGGTAAGGGAAAAAAAAAAAAACACTACAAGGAGACACTACAAAAATATCTTCTTCCTGGATGATAGGATTATGTAAGACTTTGGGTTTTTGTTTTGTTTTGTTTTGATAGAGCTTACTGATATTTTATTCTGTGGGAGTGGTATAGGGTATTGATAGACATACAATGAAAGTCTTCCCTTATTCTAATAAATATGGCCAATAAATAAAGGCCACTCATCCTTTAATCATTTGAGATATAAAATAAACAATGTACTTGTTTATTTGTAACATTATGTTTTTTTCCTGTATTTTTTATTGGTGTATTATAATTATACATAATAGTGGGATTTGTTGTTATATGTTTGTATATTTAATCTAATTTGGTTAGTATCATCCTCTTGTAAGATTTTACTGTGTTTCTACTTTTTTTTTTTTTTTTTGCAGTGCTGGAAATTGAACCCAGGAGCCTCCTGCAGGCTATGCAAGGGCTCCACCACCAAATTACCGCCCCCCCAGCCCTATGTTTAAAAAAACTCAGATTAAGACCTAGACTTTCCTTTCTCCCCCTTCTTCCCACCCCAACCCCACTCCCTACCCCCAGGTTAAGCAAGAAGCTTCTGGGGAAACATTCTCTCTCAGAGTGTTTGCCCAGGCTTCTGGAGACCCAGCCCACTTGGCCAAGTTTCTGTTTCAGTGGAAACTCTCAGTGTTTCCATTGTCTGACTTGAGAGTCTTCAAATTACTCTTCTTAATTAAGTGGCCTGGGTGTTATTTTGACAGAGCCTCAGCCCAGAGATTTTCTTCACCTCTGTGTTTTAGAAGCCAAAAATGAAAGGGGTTTAGAGAGAGGGCAGATCGAGGGCCTTGCAGTGTGTACATCTGAAAGGCAGCCATTCTGCTGGTAGAAATGACAGTGGGCCCCAAGGTAGGCCTGACTTCCCACACCGAGGTTCCTTAGAATCTTAAAGGCCAGCAAGAACTTTTTGCAGAAGTAGCTGTCTGGGTTTCAAGGTGAGTCAAATAACATCTCTTGCCTAAGTACCTGGTGGTGGCTTCACAAATAGACATTTGTCCTCTCAACTAAGACATGCATTCTTACTGTGTGCCAGGGGCTGGGGGTAGAGAACAGGCAAGCGACAAGGCCCTTCCTCAAGGGACTTATGATGGGTCTGGGGCAGACAGAACAAATTAGTGAACCAACAATTAAGCAAGGTAATACCAGAGAATGGTAGGTGCCAGGGAGCAAATAATGCAAATGTAAAAGGAAAGGCAGTGGTGTGGGGGAGGGAACAGGTCTAGACATGTGGCCATTTGGAGATGGTGACATTGGAACTGAGACCTTACCAAACATCTTCCGTGGTTTTAGTGGCCCCCAATGGTCCATGTGAAGACCATCACCCTGGTCTTCAGGGTGATGGTATTGCAAAGTGGTGGAACAACAGGTTGAAGGTCTTTTGATTATTAGGGGTGCTGCCCTCCAAAGGGATTCAAGAAGTTTTCCTGTGACTATCTTGGTAGTTCTCTGTGGAAGATTATTATAAAGAGAACAAAACCTGACCCTGCCCTCTCTCTGCTTCCTGATTTGGGATGTGACCACCACATCTTATTCCTGCACAGTCTCCCACTGTGATATGATATCAAGGGGCTCATCCAGTCTTGATTTTTTTTTTTTTTTTGGTACTGGAGGTTGAACCCAGGGACACTCTACCACTGAGCTGCATCCCCAGCTCTTTTTAGTTATTCATTTACTTATTTTTTGAGACAGTGTCTTGCTAAGTTGTCCAGGCTGGCCTCAAATGTTCAATCCTCCTACCTCAGCCTCCCAAATGGCTGGAATTACAGGCATATACCACCACATCCAGCTCAATCTTGAACTTTGAACCTCTAAAACTGTGAGCTGATTAAGTAGTAGTATTTTCTTCATAAGTAGTCTGCCTCAGGTATTTCATTATTAGTGATGGAGAGCTGACTAATAAAACATTAAATCATAAGCAACTCTGGAGAAATAGGGTTCCAGATAGAAAAAAATCCAAAGGGAGGAATTATGTGGGAATGAACTTGGCTGTTTCTAGGAAAATAGGGAAGACTGGAGGCCTTTTCCTTGGATAAGTTCCCAGACTGGGATGATAGGACCAAAAGTTATGGACACATTTATGACTCTTGATATACATTGCAGGATTGCTTCCTAATTATTAACAGTCGTCTCTGGGGAGTAGGATGCAAGTGTCAGCAAGAAAGGAAAGGAACTTAGTTTCCATCTTCTGCATATTTTGAATTTCTTTTTTACCAAGAACATATATTATTTTTGTAACTTAAAGAGATCTAGAGTTGTAAAACATTGGTAATAAGCAGGAATGCTGGATTCAACACTCTACTATTCTATATATCATATACATAAATTATGTTGTATATGAGGCGTTTTATAATAAATCTATTTTTTTTAATAAAATGTATTGGCTGGGTACGGTGGCGCACTCCTGTAATCCCAGTGGCTCCGGAGGCTGCGGCAGGAGCATCAGGAGTTCAAAGCCAGTCTGAACAAAAGCCAGGTGCTAAACCACTCAGTGAGATCCTGTCTCTAAATCAAATACAAAATAGGGCTGGGGATGTGGCTCAGTGGTTGAGTACCCTGCCCCCTGAGTTCAATCCCCAGTACCCTCATCCCTCAAAAAAGTACTAATTCAATTGCCACCAGGTAGATATAAATGTGGCAGTTTTACCACATACTCTAATAATTTTCATTCTTTTTGGGGGGTGCAGGGGAGATGGAGAGGTACTGGAGATTGAACCCAGGAATGCTCTACCACTGAGCAACATCCGCAGCCTTTTAAAATTTTATTTTGAAACAGGGTCTCACTAAGCTGTTGAGGCTGGCTTTGAACTTGTGATCCTCCCGTCTCATCCTCCCAAGCTGCTGGGATTACAGGCGTGTGCCAGCCTGTACTCTGTAAAAATGAGCATACCTGGCTCATTTTTTGCTTCTTTGTTCCAGTTCAGTCACTGTTTTGCTTTGATTAAATGATGTTGCTTTAGTCTCCATAGGTTTCATTTTTTATCAAACAGAAAGAAAGATCTATCCATCCTCTCCAATTCATGGTATTAAATAAAATAGCAAAATGGGACGGCACTCTACAAAGTCTTGAATTCAGTAGAATACAATAGACAAAGAGAAGAGGGAAGGGATTTTCATCTAGAATGTTCGTATCTGAAGCCGACCCTGACTCTTTCATTCACCTTCATCTCTGTTTCTAAATTCCATCTCAAAATGTTCTTGGACCTAAGGCTGCATGACTTGACACTCATTGTGGTGACCACGCTATGACTGTCATTTCCTCCAGAGGAGGGTCCAGTGAAGACATGGAGTCTCAGTGGCAGAATTTTAGGCATCAGCCAGCAGGTCAAAGCAATCAAATTTAGGGGAGAGGATGATCTTTTCCAGATTCTAAAATTTTAGGAAGTTAGATGTGGTTGGGAAGAGCTTCAAGTTAGGCTTTCAAAGAACTAGGACCTAGTTCTGAGCACATTGAATCTTATAATCTTTCTATTTCAGTTTCTTGAGCTGTAGAATGGGGCTATGGATAATTGCCCCGCTTATTTGCTTATGGTGTTTGGGAATTTTGCGAACCAATGTATATGATAAAGCTTTGGAAATGGCTAGGTTTGTGGACCTATAAGGGCCTAGTGCTGCTACTTAATGGCTTCAAGTGTGCCCAGCAGATATACACACGGCTGACTGCACATGAGGGATGCATACACATAATGTTTGCTGGCTGATGCTGAATGGAAGGGATTCTCCTTGGTAGCTCTGAATGTCATGGCAGAACTTGGTTCATCATTCTCCAGTTTTCCTCTGCTGCCCAGCATATTAGGAGACTGTATATCTCAGCTCCCTTCAAGATGGTTGGGACCATGGGACCAGTTTTGAACAATGAAATGACAGTAGGAATTCACTACCAGGTGGAATGAAACACCCCCACATGGTTCTCCAGTCTCTCTCATCTCTGTCAATTGTAGAGGAGGCCCTGTGTTCACACAGGGGTCAAAAGATCAAAAGCAGCCAGGATCACTGACTCACTGCTTGGAAGGCAGCTGTGTTAAGGGGAAATACAGGTGAATTGTGTAAAACTCTGAGATTCTTGGGACTATTTGTTACTACAGCACAACCTAGCCTATCCTGCCTAATATAACCTGAATCTCAGTTTCACTTCTTCTCAAATCATAACACCTATTGCATATGGTTTGTAGTAAAGATTTAAGGAGAGCATGTGTGCAAAGCTCTTGGCTCAATGTGGGCTCATGGAAGGAAATCAGTAATGT